ATATATTTATATTTTCTATATTTTATTATAGGGTGTCCCAAACTTTTTGACACGCCGCTTATGAGTAGGTAGAGCAGACCAAATTGAGTCAAAAAGTCTTCTACCGTTTTGCAATTTTCGCGATTTTTTTTTATCCGACGAGCAGTATATCTATTGTAATAATCGTCTCTAAAATATCTTTAAATTCTTTAAGAAATATATTATTAAGATTTGATAAAGAAAGGCACCTTATGCGTCGATTTTATCCGCATATTCGGCAATGTTTAGAAATTAATATTTCGTTAACTATTGCGCAAATTACAATAAAAAATTAAAATTATTTAATTTAAAATCTATCTGCAAACAAGAAGTGTATTAAATAAAAAGTTAGTTGAGTTACCTTGTATATTATTATATACATATAGTAAAGTTGAAAAGTTATTTTTTAAAAGTAATACGTTACCGTTACCGTTATTTGCGGTAAAAAAATAACTCGTTATCGATTTTAAAAAGTAACGCGTTACTGTTACTTAAAAGTAAAAAATTGTTACTTTTTACTTTCTTTTTTTAATTATGCAGAATATCAGCTTATTCACTGATTTTGATAAAGTTAGAATCATTCAACGCATTTTTGCACGAACTGAACGAATCTGACAGAAAAATAAGTGTCGCTCTGCTCAGCGAACTGAGATATTAATGATTAAAGCTATGACTATTAAGATAAGGAATCAGATTCATTCATTTCGTGCAAAACGCATCGAATGAACCTAATTTCAATTCAAAATCGAATATTCCTGTGTTCTACATCTTTTTTAAATATTAAAACAGACTTCTAAGAGTGCTAAGACAGAATATAAATTAAATATAAGAGATTTAGGAAGATATTTATCTTTGAACATTTTTATCTTTTATTAAAATTTTACATACTTAATTAAATAATGGTATTTTATTGTGTAATAGATATTTTAGTTTTTAGTGTTCTTATGCTAAAGCGAGGATAGTGAAACAAAAATAGGCAAAAAGTTTTTTGTTTATTTAGTATCTACCTATAATCTTATTGTCCATAACCTACAAAAAAGTAATACAAAAATAACGAGGTCAATTTCATTACTCGTTATTAAAGAAAATGTAATGTCATTACTTTTATTATAATTATCACCTTCTTACTCTAATAAAAAAAAAATAACGGTGTTACCAAATCATTACCAAAAAGTAAGGAAAATATATATGTAACATCGTTACAAGCAACGCGTTACTTCTTAACTCTGCATATATGTGTATATATATATATATTATTGTATATGTATATGGATATTTATTTCTGTGTATACTACATTTACGTTTCACTTATATGAAGTAAGCTACAGGATTTTATATTGGGTTGTCTGGAAAGTTCGTGCCGACAAACCTATATAATTAAATGTATACTAAAATTTAAATTTTCTGCGTTTAAATTTTCCTTCAACATCAGCACTTTCCGGACAACCCGATAATAAACTGCAAGCATTTTTACAGAAATTTTATCATCTTATATTCTTTTTAGTGGAAACCACATGTATCTTATTAATATTACACTGTTTCCTTAAGCATTAAGAAAAGAGTACATAAAAATGGAAGTGATTTTTATCACACATTATACAGAATAATAGAAATCGACTACAACTCCGATTAATTGTGTGCATATCCTCGGTAGGAAAGAGTCACTTTTCTCGTTGTCCGCAGTCAACCACCGAAACAGATTTCGCGAATCAGATTCTAGAGAGTCGAGAGGCGAGACGAAGTGCGATGAAAGAGATCGAAATCTAACATCGAAAGGAGCAGATCGATACATTTCGCGAGCAGTGTTCTCGGTTAGCCGAACGACGGATATACCTGGAATCGAGGAAGAGGGAGACAGGAGTGTAGATATAATGCATTGAATTAGACACAAATGCACCCTGGGCGCCAATTGGCCGGGCTTCCCGCGCTTCGTGCTCCATCTCTCCCTCGAGAGGGCCATCGCCTCCTTCTCGAGTATACCACAGGCTGATGCTCGGACGTGATATCACGGACACAAGAGCCCTTTTCTCTGTCGTGGCGCCAAATGAATGCCAGCAAATCTCGGGTATTACGCTAACGCACTTGTCAATAAAGTCAGACAACATATTCTTCATATTCTCTTCCCTATATGTTTCTGTGTTCTTTAAAAGTATTTTTAACAAGCACAAGTTCTCAGTGGAAAACTTATTGATGAATTTTAGTTTGCTGTTATAGATATGTTTTAATCTTTTGTTGGCCATAGAATTTTGCATTAAGAATCAAAGTCTTTAAGAGAATGTTGGAACGATAGCAATTACAGTACAACAAAAATTTTGAAACTTTACTGATTGCAAAATTATTTAGAATTAAAATTAGAATTGAAATATTTACAAAAATAGAAAGTTCAAAGATCAATTTCAAAGACAAATTTCATAAATATGTTGTATCAATTTCACAAATAACTGCACTTGAGATTAAAGTTTGCTTAATATAAAATTTTTATAGTTCACATGAATACCATCAAGTGATCCATCTCAAATTATTTGAAGAGACAATACTGAATTTGTACAACTAACAGTAAGATTGAAAATCTAGAAAAAATATTTTCAGTTGAACGTAATTCATATGTATATTTAGCGAAAATTTAGAATAGTAAACTAAAAAAGCAGCAATCGTAGCAGATGCTCGATTTTTCAAGAGATACTGCTGCAATATGTCAAATATGTCAAATAAGATAAGTATACGCATTTGAATGAGACAGAATGGTAATGTAAGATACTAAATTAAAGATACCGCTATTAGTGATATTTTTATTTTAAAATTAAAAAGTTTGTATTATTGACTTCAATTAAATCCAATCATCGCTCTCCTTAAGGGATTGCAAGACGGCCAAACTTGATTGATAGTTCAAACTTTTTGTAATTCCAAGTTAAAAGTATCGATAATAGTGATATCTTTAATTAATTTTTCTAGAAGTCAACTGCCTCATCTTCTAATAGTTTTAATTTTGCGTCTTCAATTCTGTGAAAAAAAGATAACAAGTTATTTTTAGTTAGTCTAAGTTAAAATAATTTTTCCAGCCCGGGTTTTATATTTCAGATTATATTTCGAATCATGTAACGTTTAATAAAAATTAATTAAAGTTTTGTATTTGGAAAGAAAATATTGTACGCATAAAATCCGCTATGTGATGTGATTCAATTATACTTAATGCTTCCGTCCAGATAAATATCGTCAAATATGAAATATCATTTCTTTTGTCTAGTAACGACGATTGCAGAAAAGAATCGATACGATTCACTATGTTTTTTCGACATTTAACCCACGGCACGCATTCACCTGCAAGAGCAGAAACCAGATACTCCAATCATCTTGTCATGGTTTATAGAATTATGTATAAAGGGTGGACCACAATAAACCGCCCTTGTAGGACACTCGCATAATCCGAGGACTACATCTATGTAAGGATGTACGTATATTGCTCTCTCACGATTCGTGATACTATATATTCACTGTATTATTTTCTCTTTTATATTAAAATCATTCTATATGTCAAAATAAAGATTTGCTTTGTTAGGGAAAGTCGAATTTTAAATGACTATTATATTACATAATTACAAATTTTTTAAAAGTCTTCCATGATAAAAGATTTCCATGATTAAATAATATTTTTGTTCTTATAAATAAATAGCATTTTGTTCTTTGGTAGGAATTATTATAATTAATAGGATATAGGAATCATTATAGTGCTAAATTATTATAGCCAATTGAATAGTTGACAAAAGTTATTATATCCTTGAAACATTTTTTTGCGAGGACGAAAAGTTTGTCTAATTTTTCTTATTTAAGCTATCAAAAAGATGTTCTTTTAATTAAAAAAATCATTGTTTTTGAGTTAACAAACGTGTATAATATAACATGAAAAATTATTAAAGAAATAATTAAATATAATTAACAGATATAATTGCATTTATAACAATAAGGATTTGGCGATTTAATAAATTTTTTTACTGCAAAAATAAAGATCATTTAACTTCTTTTCTACTTTTCTCTCTTGATTTTAGAGTAATTGTTTAGCACATTTTTAAAACATTCAATTCATAATCAAGGAGCTATGGAATCTAATGACTTTATAATATCTAATCTTTTATGTGTTTTATATTAGAAAAGTTCGTGCCGCAAAAGATTTAAATTTAATAAATGAAATTAAAAATTTAAATCTTCTGCGTTTCAATTTTCCTTCAAAATCGGCACGAACTTTCCGGATAATAGCTACTTTTGCATATAAGCCACTCAATTATAATCCTTAATTACGATATTCAAATCATTCAAATTGTAATAATAAATAAAAATTTAACATTCCGCATGTGCAACCTGACAAAGTCATTTGTCGATGCTGTCGAATTATTCGCAGGCATCTCCTATGGAGCAGCACGTTCTTAAGGATCCTAACATCACATCATCGTGAAAGCTTCGCTCTTTACAACGCTCATATTTTGTTTTAAACCCCCTTACTAGCGAACATATCGAGTTACACGCGCCACCTAATACCACATAAAGGGGGCAACATCGACCGTGGGCCCCATCGGTTTTCTGTAGACAGGATATTCATTCTATATTATCCTAATCGTCATCTCTTTCTTGTTTTCGTCTTCTTTCTTGTCTTTTTCTTTCTTCATCTTACTCTGTCAATTCGAATTGCGGTGGTCTTCTTGCAGAAGGGAATCATTTGGCAAAAAGGGGTGGCGTATCTTAAGAAAGGGCGGCGCTGATTTTCGTCCTCGTGCGTGTTCTTTGTAAGCGCTCGCTCGCGAGACATCCGATACCGTCCTTCCGAATGGCAGGCATTAACCGCTGCGAAATGGAGCGAAACGGTCCGATTCGAAGATCCATAGGCGTCCTTTCGCTCCCCAGGAAACTTTAGAACATCCGCCGGAATTATCGATCGCTTGCCAACTCGCGTATCTTGGTCGCGCTTAATTATCTTAATTGCATCCATCGTGCAGGAGCAATTTTGAATTGACGGATTTCGTGATCAACGTCGTTTATTACAATCAATATTAACATCAAAATAGATGTTCTATTTCTGAATTCGGAAATGCTATAGTCAGAAAAAAGACAGTGATAACATTTATAACTTATAGTCTATAAAGTAAGTGATAAATAGTGATGACAACCATATAAATTTTATACATAGATTAGTACATATACGGTTGAATAAACTTTTATAGTTATTATAACTATAAAATAGTTTTATATATAGAATTAATATATGTACGCAAGTTTTTCTTTTAGTGTATGCATGAAAATTCTATACTAGCAAGGGAACGTTTCGAAGTGTAAATATTATAATAATATCAAACTTTTCAGATTTATTACTTTGGTAAAAGTAATAAATGATTTTCACTATTTATAAATTCTACCTTTGTGATATAAACAAAAAACAGTTTTAAAAAATATATATATATCCCAATTTTTATTGATCATTTTATTGGTCATGTTATTCTGTCAATTTTTGTTTTTTTATTAAAATATAATTTTCTAGTTGTATTAATACTGCAAAGTTTGTAACTTACACCGATAAAATGTAGAAATATGGCAGACAGAAATATGCATTATTTAAAGATTACGCTGCAATTATGTATTGAACTTGTATATTTCATGTCATACACATATTCATGTCATACACGTATATATATATATATATATA